TCCATTCCTCTCTCTGCCTTCCCTGCCCTTCTATCACATCAGTCGGAGGCATCATGAACACAAAATCCCTCAATGCATTGCAATATAAATTGCTGCGGCAATGGTTTCTTTCTGGCAGTGGGTTAATTGCTCTGTCTTGTCTGAAAGACAAATGAAATAGATGAGTGCTTTGGTTTTGTTTTTATGGCGAGTTTACCCCTGATACCTGGAGCCAGCACTGGATTTCTTCTTCTTCTCTTCCTTCTGAGTACAAACAGCAATCAACATCAGACCTCTAAATAATTCTAAGCTAAACACATCCTATCAGATAAATATTTATTAGAAATGCCCAATTAGGCAGAAATAATAGCTAATTTTCCTTGCTACCATTAAAAATGTTGGCCATTTTCTGCTTTAAGAAGCGGAGATGTGAGTTAGGAAACGTAAAACAAAATATTGCATCATAAAACAGGACAAGGGCAAGCACATTTCTGTTACATTTTATTTATTTATTTACTTGTTTATTAAATTTGTATACCACCCTCCATCTGAAGGTCACAGGGCAGTTCACAACATAAAAATACAAAATGAGAACACAAAATACATAATCATCATAAAAAGCAAACCAATAGCCCCCCCAAACACATTTTAAATGCCTTACAATGTTTAAATGCCTTACAATGTTTAATTACATGAATCTAATTACATGGATTGATTTTACCTAAATTATGTGTTTTGAACTCTGCCACGCCACTCCTGGCTCCTGGTTGGATACAAACGAAGGCTGGAAACATATAAATTGCCTGGGACGTATGCCTCATTCAAGTCAATGAGATACAGATAAGAGTTGTGCTGCAAGTTAGTTGAACTTCAGTCCCATTGAAATCCATTGGATAATTTATTAATGACTTAAGTCCCATTGATTTAAATAGCAACTAAGTTCAACTAATGTAGACTGGCTCCAACCATCCATACGTTGTCTATGCCCCATTGAATCCTTAGTAGAGCCAGAAAATGGTACTCATTGTCCTTTCTGTATTTTTTATATGGTAGCCATATTGGAGCTTCCTTCCTTCCTTCCTTCCTTCCTTCCTTCCTTCCTTCCTTCCTTCCTTCCTTCCTCCCTCCCTCCCTCCCTCCCTCCTCCTCCCTCCTCTCTCTCTCTCTCTCTCTCTCTCCATTATCTTTATGAGGACTTTAAAATGGGTGCTACTCAACAAAGTAGATCTGCTAGCACAATACTTTGGGCTGCATAATGGAACTTTCCTTCCTTCTCATTTCTCTGTTCCCCTCTCGAATCTGTTCCAGGGTTCCCCCAAATGCCTCAGAGAAGATTTGGGGAGGGCAAGGAGATGCATAGGAAGAGGGTAGGAAGGGAAAGTTCCATCGCACAAGTGGAAGTATTTTGTCAGATGCTGCCTAATGTAATTATTCTTTCTAACTGGGTGAGAAAGCCATGGTAGTGTCCATTATATAATTTCACATAAAGCAAAAGGAATGAGTGTTTAATGTTTTAGCTGGAATGTGTCAAGCTTCCTGTTTACCGCATTGTGTGGAAACACATCCAGTTAAAGGGAATCTCAAGCTGTTGGATCCATTTACTTTGGCTGCTCAAAGCAGAGCACCCAATTTATTCCACCCAGAAGTTAAATTGCATTGCTGACATTTCAAATGGAGACGGATGGTTTCATTTCATACTACCCTGGCATGTTTTGCTGTGCAGCGTCAGAGTTGCACTGTTTCACCAAGAGTGAAAAGGAATAGGAAAATGAGACAAGAGATTTGGTGCACAACCAGCTCTGTTTGTAATGGCTCATACATTCTGCATATACTTACAAATGTTATTTACAATTAAGCAGTATATAAATGTTGTTAAATAAAAATTGTGAAATGGGATGACTCATTGATTTCATACAATGCAAACCAGTTAAGCGTAGAGTCAGATCAATGCTAGCCTATTAAGCTCAACTCCTAAAAACAAATTCATTTTATTAATATAATGTAAGACTGTATTGCTTAGAAGGCAAAAGCAAATTGATGGCTGGGACCCAAAAACCCAACCCATCAGTTCCACATACGCCAAGGACTTGCTTGCATTCCTTGAGCTGAAAGTTCACACCACCACATAGCAAATTTGCTTTGAAACACGGGGGACATTCAAAAGCAGGTTGTGTTGTAGTGACATGGAGTGCGTATGTCTGATGTTCAAAGTAAGCAAGCCAAAGAAATCTTAACAGGCACACTCAAGTCTTGGGGAACCAAAAGTAGCTTTTTGGATCTTGGCCCATGACTGCCCTGAATTTAGTAAATTGGCTGTGGGTGAATTGCGTGAAATGGATCAGCAGGTGGCTTTGATGTCCAGATCCTACCTTTGTTCTCTACCCCACATTTTGATGGCCTTAAAAACAAACCAGCACCTGGATGAAGTAGCTTGGACTTCCAAAGGAGTGCAGCTTCTCAAGAACCAAGTGAGTTGATGTGATTTGGTCTCTTATTACAACTCTGCCACTTCATTCATTGAGATCCAGTTTGATGTAGTGGTTAAGAGTGGTGGACTCATAATCTGGTGAACCGGGTTCGCATCCCCACTCCTCCACATACAGCTGCTGGGTGACCTTGGGCTAGTCACACTTCTCTGAATTCTCTCAGCCTCACTCACCTCACAGAGTGTTTGTTGTGGGGGAGGAAGGGAAAGGAGAATGTTAGCCGCTTTGAGACTCCTTTGGGTAGTGATAAAGCGGGATATCAAATCCAAACTCCTCCTCCTCCTCCTCCTCCTCCTCTTCTTCTTCTTCTTCTTCTTCTTCTTCTTCTTCTTCTTCTTCTTCATTCTCTAATGTAGTCTTTGACAACCTGGTGCTTTCTGGGTGATTTGGATTATGATTTCCGTCTTCCCCAGCAAGCATGGTAGCTGGGCCTGATGGGAGTTGTAGTCCAAAGCATTGGTCCAAAGGGCACCTGGCTGCTGAAGGATGCATGAATAGTATTAATCTCTTAATGTTGGTCCCACTGCAAGGCCAGACTGTGCATATAGCAGAAAGTTGCATTAAACCTAAACATGTTGAGCCTAGATCCAGGAACTAAGCTGTTCCTACTTACTGCATTTATTGCCTAGAAACTTGGAAGAATAATTAAAACACCCCCCCTTTTTTCTTCTTCTCTTTATATAAAAACTAATTCTGGTATTCCATCTTGACTGTATGGGACACTTTAAAAGCCTTTTAGCAGGAGGTGGTTGTTAAGAAAAGCAGTCAGTAAGAGGAAAAACAGATTGAGAGCTGATATTCTGAAAGTCTGGAAGCTCAACATAAAAGCTCGAATTCCAACAGAGTCTACCAAAGATTAATAGCTGCTGCCAGAAGCAAGTTTAAACTCTGGGAAACTTCTAAAGCAGAAGCAGCTCTCATCTACTTTTCAAGCATGTTCATTACACAAGAAACAACAAAACAGATTCCTTGCAGTTTAATAGACTAGTATTCCTATTTCTTATATTGATCTGGGGTGGTGATTGGTTTTGAATCTCACTCCCCCCGACTAGCCACAAATGCAATTCTCTGTATATGGTTATTTCAAATAACATTATTAACAGTTATGTTTAGAAAAGTAGGCTAATGCAATATAAAATAAAGCACTGTTCAGCATCTTTAGGCAGGGTCAGTAATTGTTTTATTTTAAAAAATGCCTGGTCAGATGTCTGCAACCTGTAATATACCAACTCCCAGTAAAGTTTCAGGCCTTGTTGATTTAAAACACAAAGATTTTTCAATTTCATTGTTCTGTATAGGACAATGACAATACAGTGGTGCCTCACAAGACGAAATTAATTCGTTCCGCGAGTTTTGTCGTCTTGCGATTTTTTCCATCTTGCGAAGCACGGTGTCAGGAAAGTTTTGGAAAAGCTTCAAAAATACCAAAGTCTTTAAAAACCTCAAAAAAGGCTACCACACCGCGTTCTATGAGTTGCTCCTCGAAGTCAAGTCACAACTGTATTAACGGTGTTAAGAAAAAGGAAACAAACTTGCAAGACATTTCTGTCTTGTGAAGCAAGCCCATAGGGAAAATCGTCTTGCGAAGCAGCTCAAAAAACAAAAAACCCTTTCGTCTTGCGAGTTTTTTGTCTTGCGAGGCATTCGTCTTGCGAGGTACCACTGTAAAGATATTAGGGGGAAAAAGATATTTGTCTTTGTAAGCTCATTTGTTGTTTAGTCGTGTCTGACTCTTCGTGACCCCATGGACCAGAGCACTCCAGGCATTTGTGTCTTCCACTGCTCCCCGCAGTTTGGTCAAACTCATGTTGGTAGCTTCGAGAACACTGTCCAACCATCTCGTCCTCTGTCATCCCCTTCTCCTTGCGCCCTCAATCTTTCCTAACATCAGGGTCTTTTCCAGAGAGTCTTCTCTTCTCATGAGGTGGCCAAAGTATTGGAGCCTGAGCTTCACGATCTGTCCTTCCAGTGAGCACTCAGGGCTGATTTCCTTCAGAATGGATAGGTTTGATCTTCTTGCTTTGATCTCAAGAGTCTCCTCCAGCACCATAATTCAAAAGCATTCGACGACCAGCCTTCTTTATGGTCCAGCTCTCACTTTCATATATCTATTGGGAAAACCATAACTTTAACTATACGGACCTTTGTCGGCAAGGTGATGCCTCTGCTTTTTAAGATGCTGTCTAGGTTTGTCATTGCTTTTCTCACAAGAAGCAGGTGTCTTTTAATTTTGTGACTGCTGTCACCATCTCTGGTGATTATGGAGCCCAAGAAAGTAAAATCTCTCACTGTCTCCATTTCATCCCCTCTAGGAGGTGATGGGACCAGTGGCCATGATCTTACTGTACTCATAAACTCTTCCTTTCCCCCACCACTCAGAAAACCCAGCTTTTGCTGTGGCACATTGCGTGTTTTAGTTAAAGACCCCAATGTGTTTTCCTTGTGTGTAGGCGTATGCTCATGTAGACAAAGACACATGGCAACAGGGTGTACACTTACAACAATTGAAGCTTTTATATACTAAATTAGAAGCAGCTGTCATTGTGAATAGTGTGGATGTAGCCTACACGGTGTCTTGATAAGTGGTGGAGGAATGTCTCATTTTCTACCACTTGCAGTGTTGCTTGAACTCTTTCTGAAAAACACATTAGACAAAACACTGACACACACACAACTAGAAACAATGTCTTGGATCCCTGCATTCGCAGGAGCAGAAGTCTGCTCATAAGAGACTCCCACTGGTGGAAGCAGGGAGAGGGAAAAGATGGCTTTTGTCAATTCCCTCTTCCTTCTGCACACCCTAATAGAAGAGTTTGGATTTGGATTTGAAATCCCGCTTTATCACTACCCTAAGGAATCTCAAAGCGGCTAACATTCTCCTTTCCCTTCCTCCCCCACAACAAACACTCTTTGAGGTGAGTGAGGCTGAGAGACTTCAGAGAAGTGTGACTAGCCCAAGGTCACCCAGCAGCTGTATGTGGAGGAGCAGGGAAGCGAACCCGGTTCACCAGATTACGAGTCCACTGCTCTTAACCACTATACCACACTGGCCTGGGGGTAGGAGGAGCATTGAGGTAGCTCTGGGGCTGCAGAGGGAGGTGGAATAGATTGAAATTACAGTGGTGCCTCGCAAGACGAAATTAATTCGTTCCGCAAGTTTTGTCGTCTTGCGAGTTTTTCGTCTTGCGAAGCACGGTTTCCCATAGGAATGCATTGAAAATCAATCAATGCGTTCCTAAGGAGACCGTCGGGGACAGGGGGGAAGGGCCGCGCGCCTTCCCCTCTGTCCCCGGACCTGTTTTAAAGCAAGGGGCGGAGGGGAGAAGATCGCTTCTCCCCGTTGCCGCCCCTTGCTTCAAAAGGGGTCCGGGGAGAAAGGGAAAGACGCGCGCGCCTTCCCCTCTGTCCCCTCTTTTGAAGCAAGGGGCGGAGGGGAGAAGATCACTTCTCCGCGTTGCTGCCCCTTGCTTCAAAAGGGGTCCGGGGAGAAAGGGGAAGACGCGCGCGCCTTCCGCTCTGTCCCCACTTTTGAAGCAAGGGGCGGAGGGGAGAAGATCGCTTCTCCCCGTTGCCGCCCCTTGGTTCAAAAGGAGTCCGGGGAGAAAGGGAAAGATGCGCGCGCCTTCCCCTCTGTCCCCTCTTTTGAAGCAAGGGGCGGAGGGGAGAAGATCGCTTCTCCGCGTTGCCGCCCCTTGCTTCAAAAGGAGTCCGGGGAGAAAGGGGAAGATGTGCGCGGCTTCCCCTCTGTCCCCTCTTTTGAAGCAAGGGGCGGAGGGGAGAAGATCGCTTCTCCGCGTTGCCGCCCCTTGCTTCAAAAGGAGTCCGGGGAGAAAGGGGAAGACGCGCGCGCCTTCCCCTCTGTCCCCTCTTTTGAAGCAAGGGGCGGAGGGGAGAAGATCGCTTCTCCCCGTTGCCGCCCCTTGCTTCAAAAGGGGTCCGGGGAGAAAGGGGAAGACGCGCGCGCCTTCCCCTCTGTCCCCTCTTTTGAAGCAAGGGGCGGCAACGGGGAGAAGATCGCTTCTCCGCGTTGCCGCCCCTTGCTTCAAAAGAGGTCCGGGGACAGCGGGGAAGACGCCAGCATTTTAAAAAACCTCGGGACAGCGGGGGACTTCTCTGCTGTCCGGGGCGATTTTAAAATGCTGGCGCTTCCCCGCTGTCCTGGAGATTTCCCTATGGGCTTTCGTCTTGCGAAGGAAGCCCATAGGGAAATTCGTTTTGCGAAGTGTCTCCAAAACGGAAAACCCTTTCGTCTAGCGGGTTTTCCATCTTGCGAGGCGTTCGTCTTGCGGGGCACCACTGTACCTTCTTTCAACCAGCAGGAGTCCTTTAATAAGAAAATGACACAAGTGGAACAGCTTTGCCGTCCCAATTGGATTTAACTACTGTCACCACCCTAGCTACCATTAAACTTTTTAAAAGCCCCTATCTGGAGACCACCTTCTGAGTCCCTTCTCCCAATGCCACATCCCTTCAGAGACAAGGTAGACATCAACAAGGGGAAACTTTTTTTGGCATCCACATACAGTGGTACCTTGGGTTAAGAACTTAATTCGTTCCGGAGGTCCGTTCTTAACCTGAAACTGTTCTTAACCTGAAGCACCACTTTAGCTAATGGGGCCTCCTGCTGCCACCGCATTGCTCTGTTCTCATCCTGAAGCAAAGTTCTTAACCCAAGGTACTATTTCTGGGTTAGTGGAGTCTGTAACCTGAAGCGTCTGTAACCCAAGGTACCACTGTACTGTATTTTGGAGTTTTTTAAAAAATCATTTTATGCAGTTGTTCACTTTATTTGAACTGTACTTTTAGAATTGTGATCTTAAAACATAAAACATATAAATATACAGTGGTACCCCGCAAGACGAATGCCTCGCAAGACGGAAAACCCGCAAGACGAAAGGGTTTTCTGTTTTGGAGGCGCTTCGCAAGACGAATTTCCCTATGGGCTTGCATCGCAAGACGAAAGCCCATAGGGAAATGCTGGCGGTCGGGAAGCGCTGCCGACCCCCAGCATTTTAAAATCTCCCCGTGTCCCGGGAAGGTTTTAAAATGCTGGGGGTCGGGAGCGAAGCGCTGCCGACCCGCAGCATTTAAAATCTCCCCGTGTCCCGGGAAGGTTTTAAAAATGCTGGGGGTCGGGAGCGAAGCGCTGCCGACCCGCAGCATTTTAAAATCTCCCCGTGTCCCGGGAAGGTTTTAAAATGCTGGGGGTCGGGAGCGAAGCGCTGCCGACCCGCAGCATTTTAAAAATCTCCCGTGTCCCGGGAAGGTTTTAAAATGCTGGGGGTCGGGAAGCGAAGCGCTGCCAACCGCAGCATTTAAAATCTCCCCGTGTCCCGGGAAGGTTTTAAAAATGCTGGGGGTCGGGAGCGAAGCTGTTCCGAAGCGGGGAGGGGGGCGGGGACACCTGCCCCAGCCGCCCCACTTCGGAAAGCTGTTCCGAAGCGGGGCAGGGGGGCGGGGAACAACTGCCGGGACACGAGCTGTTCCGAAGCGGGGAGGGGGGCGGGAACAACTGCCCCAGCCGCCCCACTTCGGAAAGCTGTTCCGAAGCGGGGAGGGGGGGCGGGGAACAACTGCCCCAGCCGCCCCACTTCGGAAAGCTGTTCCGAAGCGGGGAGGGGGGGCGGGGAACAACTGCCCCAGCCGCCCCACTTCGGAAAGCTGTTCCGAAGCGGGGAGGGGGGCGGGGACACCTGCCCCAGCCGCCCCACTTCGGAAAGCTGTTCCGAAGCGGGGAGGGGGGCGGGGACACCTGCCCCAGCCGCCCCACTTCGGAAAGCTGTTCGAAGCGGGGGGGGGGGCGGGGACACCTGCCCCAGCCGCCCCACTTCGGAAAGCTGTTCCGAAGCGGGGAGGGGGGGCGGGGACACCTGCCCCAGCCGCCCCACTTCGGAAAGCTGTTCCGAAGCGGGGAGGGGGGGCGGGAACACCTGCCCCAGCCGCCCCACTTCGGAAAGCTGTTCCGAAGCGGGGAGGGGGGGCAGGGACACCTGCCCCAGCCGCCCCACTTCGGAAAGCTGTTCCGAAGCGGGGAGGGGGGGCGGGAACAACTGCCCCAGCCGCCCCACTTCGGAAAGCTGTTCCGAAGTGGGGAGGGGGGGCGAGGACACCTTCTGAAGGCGGGCAGGGGGCGAAAGTCTTTGTCCCCCCTGCCTGCCTTCCCAGGGGCTTTTAAATCGCCCCGGACAGCGGAGAAGTCCTCCGCTGTCCGGGGCGATTTTAAAATGCCGCCCACCAGCATTTTAAGATCGCCCCGGACAGCGGAGAAGTCCTCCACTGTCCCAGGGTTTTTTAAAATGCTGGGGGTGGGAAGAAAAGCCCTTGTCCCCCCCCCAGCCTTCAGAAGAGGTCCGGGGACAGACTGTCCCCGGACCTGGTCTGAAGGCGGTTTCCCTAGGAACGCATTAATTGATTTTCAATGCATTCCTATGGGAAACCGTGCATCGCAAGACGAAAAAACCGCAAGACGAAGAGACTTGCGGAACGAATTAATTTCGTCTTGCGAGGCACCACTGTAAATATTTTACATTAAATCATTACATCAATAACCAGCACCTAAGAGATCTGAACAAGACCCTCCCACCATCATATCTTGTTACATCTTTGTGGCTTGCTATACGATGAGCATTTTATGGAATAAATGTCTATCTGTTCCCTAAATTCTGGTGTACAAGTTTCCAGCTTCATTCAAAGACAGCCCTTCTGCTGCTGGGAGATCACTAATGGAATAACTGATTTAGAACTACTTTGGATGCATGCTGTAGTCTGGTCAGGAGGGCTCTGTCTACTCCCCCTTCAAGATTGCACACCTTGCTATGTTTCCCATGTTTTTTCAGCTCTTAGTATGGATGATGATTAAATAAGGTCATACCCAGACTCTTTGAGCATACTTCTGCCTCTCTAACAACCATATTTGGACTGGGTGGTGATTCCTTAGGTATGCCAAATAATTTCTTTTCCCCCTATACGCCAAATTCCTTTACTTATTCTAAAACTGGTTTTGTGGAGACCCTCCTTCTTTAGTAAAGCAAAACTGTACATAATTCTTTGCTTCTTTGGCGATACCTTTTTCCTGCATAGCAGCCTGTCTTTAGCAATATGGTGAACAATTACATTTCCAATCTCTTCATTAATTCCGTATATTTATTAGATATTCAGACCTTAAATCTGGATTGATAACTACAGGAAGATGGTGTCAGTTCTTGTTAGCAGGAGAGATGAGTTCCCTCTTTCGTTTTTCTGTCCTTAGAGAAGAGCGAAATAATGCTGTTTGGACACTTTTAATGGCGCCGTGGAAGGCCTCATGTCTGAAGAAAGACGTGTGCCCTGGCATTATTGAGCCTTATAGGAGATAAGAAGCAGGAAGAAAAGTGGTGACATTTTGGAAGGAACTGCACCTGTCTTTCTTTCCATTTCCCCACCCTGCTTGCCTTTCCCCAGCAATACTGTATTTGTTGTCTGTTTCTCCCTATGCCATTTCCCTGCAAAACTGTGCCCAGACTGGCTTAGGTAAAGGTAAAGGTACCCCTGCCCATACGGGCCAGTCTTGACAGACTCTAGGGTTGTGCGCCCATCTCACTCAAGAGGCCGGGGGCCAGCGCTGTCCGGAGACACTTCCGGGTCACGTGGCCAGTGTGACATTGCTGCTCTGGCGAGCCAGAGCCGCACACGGAAACGCCGTTTACCTTCCCGCTAGTAAGCGGTCCCTATTTATCTACTTGCACCCGGGGGTGCTTTCGAACTGCTAGGTTGGCAGGCGCTGGGACCGAGCGACGGGAGCGCACGCCGCCGTGGGGATTCGAACTGCTGACCTTTCGATCGGCAAGCCCTAGGCGCTGAGGCTTTTACCCACAGCGCCACCCGCGTCCCTAGAGTGGCTTACAGCCTATCAAATTAGCAATAGCAATAAGAAAGTATTAGAAGCGTCACGTCCCAGATGATACACCAGTCTGGATAATTTGGATCTGGGGCTCAATCTGCGAACATCCTGGGACTCCACCCTGTCACTCCAGCTGGAGTAATGCAAACACTCCCATCCTGGCTCACAACTGGAAGGGCTTTCTTTATAGCCACTATTAGGGTGAGGCGATCGAAAAATCTAACATGTGCAAGGGATTTGTGGGTTTTGAGTGCAATAGAGAGATTCTTGTGAAAGCAAGCTGCTCACTTGGAGCTGTCTGTGGTCCTGTAACTTCTGACCTGCATGGCCACCTTGAAGCTTCCCAGTGGGATTTGGCATCAGACCTGAACACGATGGATGTCTTTCCTTCAAATATTCTGCTTCCGGCATCAGCCAGAAGCAATTAAATTTGAGGATCGTTACAGAACACAGCAGGAAAGTGATGAAATGACTCTCCCCTTTCCTAGCTTTTTCAAAAAAATTAAAAAAAAAACAATTGCCAAGCAGAAAGTGTTGTCCTCCAAGACAAATACATGCACAGATGTTAAGTCTTGTATGCAGTCATCCACATGGCATCAAAACAAACTTGGAAAATCTTTTACATTGCAGATTAAGATCACATCCACAGTGTATACTTATGAATCAAATCAATAATAATATTTTGTTGTCCTCGCTTCAACTATTTACTTGTGTTTTTACTTTCGTCTTGAGTCTAAAAGTAAAAACCCAAGTAGCCCTGAGATCTTGTGAGGAAAGGCGGTATATAAATCTAATTAATAATAATAATAATATACTTCATTCTGAAGCATTAAGAATATTTTCCATAGTGGCTGCTGTGACTCAGTATGCTACTTTGATTGTGGTGTGTTGCTGTAACATAGAGTGAAAAATAGAATATTAAAATGATATTTATTATTAATGACAGCTATTATTTATTAAAGCTATATGTTGCCTCACACTTCCTTTAGGCATCTATATTGAGGATTTGACAGCATGCAGATTTATTTAAATTTAAACCATTAATAGGCGGATGATTAATCTTTCCCAATTTTGTAATTGCTTGACAACCCTAATTAAACCCTTGATACTGCAAGACTGAGATGTCTGAAATATGGGAATAGATTAGTACTTGTAACATATTTATTTCACAGGAAATCTAACTGAAATTATCAAATGACTTGACTATCAGTAAAATTTATTTCTGCTTTTAAAATATCAAACCCTTGTTTATGTTCCTGAGGATGTGGAACTTTGAGAAAAATACTCGGTTTCGTTTTTATGGGCAAATCTTAGAAGAAACCATTTTATGGCTTGTAAATAAATGTCAGCATGGGATCACTGGACTGTGCCAGAAAGAGAAAAAGCTCTGCATAACTGCAGTGTAGTGGAGCATCGCAGACTCCAAAGCTGGTTTTATTTGATATTATTTCAGGGTTCTTAGCTGTTGCTGCTTTTTCTACTGGTTCAGCGGCCTTAATTTTGTTGTTTTGCTGCTTTTTTGGAGTTGCTTTTTGGTGTTTCTGTGTTGAAATCCTTGGATGCTGAATGGGCATTCCTGTTCAAGAATGAAAATAAGTCAAATGCAGTGCCCCCTATCATTTGGTTGAGGTCCTTTTATTCTCCAGTCATCGCCAATCTATACACCCCAGGTTTGTCTCTTATTTGCTTAGGAGATTTGGACAACAGATAGTGAATTCTATCAGATTTTATCCAGGGTATGCATGTGTGCGCGCGTGTATTTGGTGGTGGTGGGAGTTGGTGTCTTTATTGTTGGAAATCCTTTGCAATCTCTCTGAAGGTCTTTCAGGGTTTTTCTTTAAAAGCAAGCAGCATTGTTCGGTTTAATGGTTTTCCTTCTACCGAGAATTTTCTGCAGAGTGCTTTGGCAGGAGAGTGTTTTGAAAGGCTGTCTTGCAAGTATACTTTACGCTGCTTACATTGCGGTATTAGAAAGATTCAGGGAGTGATAGTAGGTGAAATAGCACCCTTAGCGACCCGAGTGTGCTGAGGCATGATAGAAATCGATGGTTCTCACCATGTGAAAAGAGGCCTCTCATGCAAACAGATGTTAAGATAAGCACATGCGTCCTTCCCAGTCCTGGGGGAAGCATAAGGGCACCCTTGGGGAGTTGGTGGAGACCCAGTGGGGCCAACCACTGGTGCCTGTCATGGGGACCCCCAAATCAATGGACGATATCGCAGAATACAGCTAGAGAGGACCCAGCAAAGGGCACATTGCTACATGCCCCGTGCCCAGTCAGAATCTGGTCCTGCTTCTTAGCCTGCCAGGGCCATTTTGGCACAGTCCTTTGGTAATCCTCACAGAACTCTAGCCCAATGGTTGCCATTAATTTGATTTGAATTGATTTTAAAATGAATTGATTTTAGAATGCTGTGTTACTTTTATTTTTGTTAGTCGCTCTGAGCCCGGCTTCGGCTGGGGAGGGAGGGATATAAATAAATTATTATTATTATTATTATTATTATTATTATTATTATTATTATATTGAGAGCATCAAAAGCAAGTGTTACTCAGGTGATCCACAGAATTGATGACTTCTTCTTCTTCTTCTTCTTCTTCTTCTTCTTCTTCTTCTTCTTCTTCTTCTTCGCTTCCTCTTTTCTGCTGGGTTATTGGGAAGGAGGAAGTTTTATGATTTCATGCATCTAATTTTAGTTCCCATTTTATAAACTGTGCTGCTTTGAAGTCTTAAGTCTATATCCAAAGATAGCAGGGCTAAGGCAGAATTTGGAGAAAGGGCTTGACCTGCAACTGCAGATTATAATGGAGAATACATGATTCTCCAAAAGTTTTTAACGTTCCCACCAAACATGAATAATTGAACCAATGAATCCAAGAACTGTTATTTTTTTTAAAAAAAAACAACAGCATTTTTCTTGGTTTATAAATAAATACGAATACAATAACCATTAAGCACTTACGCAGCAGTACAGCCAATGGTCTTGGATTGAATTCTCTGCTAGTGGGTTTTGTAAGGAGCCGCTCTGGAATCTGCTTCCTGCCACTTGCTGGTAAACGTTTTAACTGTGTGTTTTCATCTGATGCAGAGAGGTCTTGCTCAGTTTGAAAACTGGTTGATGGCTGAGGTCAGCTATGCCTCTGCAACTAGAAAAGTCCTAAGCCTAAAAAAGAAAAACAGAATAATAATATGAAGCGTTTAATAGGTATTATCAGCTGGGCATGGAACTAAGTTTTGGAACAGATTTCCTGTGAGTGCCCAGTGGGGGTGGTTCGTAGCGCAGACAAAAGTCTCAGAAGCCTCTCATAGGTGACCTGGCTTGGTTGTTGTCATCGGCTAGACCCAACCTCTAGCTGTGGTTCTACTTCTTTCCCATTTTATGAAGCGTCATGCTTTTATTAGCCTTACATAAGCTACTCTGGGGAGCTTTTTTTTTGGCTGAGGAGAAGGATGAAAAAAGCTTCACATAAACAAATCTTAACATTATCTCAACATTTGACCCAACACAGGCGAATCATTGAGGGCAAAGTGAAACAGCATAATTTAGATGTTGCATGGATTCCAGTTATATATCAATAAATGTCATGGTTCCACTGGACCACCAGCATATCAAACAGCACTCCAGTAACGAGGATAACAACAATATTGTACAACTCTTTTTATGTTTATTGACAAGTTATTTCATTCAGCAGACATGTTGCTCTTTTCATACATTTTGTTTTTGTGGTGGTTTTATATGTACATTTGTTTTTTTTTGGAATCTTCTAATGTACTTCTACCACATACAACAACAATAACAACAACAAAATTCTCTTTAAAAAACAAAAGCCAATTTCAGTTATTGTTTCAGATGATCAGGTTGCTATGAGTTTTGCCAGATGCAATGCAAAGGATACATTTGATTTGCTTGTAATTTGTGATGACTTATGCAAACGAGAGAGAAGGGGAGCAAGTGAAGCTATATGGATTTGGTCTTAATTCAGATTGGGGATGAGGACGGAAGAGCAGGTGTGAGTTGAGATTAGCTATTGTTATGCTGCTGGGATAAAGGTAAGGCCAGTGGAAATGTTTCTGACAAATTGTAGCTTACCGTGGTGCAAGTACCTTTTCAAATGCCATCGACCCTGCTCTTCCACATTGGAATTTCCTTCCTTAAACGTTTCTGAGGATCTGGAAGTGAAAGTGCCGCTGGTGCTGAGAGAGGTTCTTTGAGAATAAACAGAGAATAAGCAGAGAGTGAGAAGACAGCTGATTTTCTTACAAATTCCCTGCTTTCTCTGAGCTGGATGAAATCATGAGGTGGGCGGGGTGATGTTGGCCCGTGTCTACTCAAAAAGCAGGGTGTACCCATTTCTTCTATCATTTGGAGAGCAGGTTGTTTAAATTATAGTTCCCAAAATGCATATGATTAACCTACACTGCAGTAGTGAGATGTTGAAGCTTCTTCATGAGGTTAACTGCAGCAGCAAACGTGTTGGAGCTGTTGTAATGCAGTGGTATACAGGGAATCACTTGCTGCACAGTTATAGTTTGTGCATTGGCACCCAAACACAGCGATAAGCAACCCAACAAAACAATACAATACGGGTGTTATGTAATGATCAATCTGCTGGTTGCTGGGACCTATCCTCTGCAACCAGGACAGCTCTGTAACGTTGGCACTTAAGTTGGGAAGGTTAGTGTAGAGATAGTGACTTGTTGCACAAGGGGGAAGCAGGGAAGGAGAAGGGCCCGTAGCTTAGAGGTAGAGCATCTGCTTTGCATGCAGAAGGTCCCAGTTTCAATCCCTGTCATCTCCAGGCAGGACTGGGAGGTTCTGTCCGGAACCCTATCACTACACTGCCAATCAGTGTAGATAATACTGAGCCCAATGGTCTGATTGACTATAAGGCGGCTTTCTATGAGTTCCTATGAATGCGCCATGCCACTTAGCTGTCCTTTGTACCCATTTTTTGCTATTTTATTATAGTTGTTAGCCACATTGGGTGCTGCTTTCACCTGTTCTTTCCATAGTTTGTTTTTAACGTTAAGTTAGTTTGGTTCTGTCGGTCTATAACTGGAGGTAAGGCTCAAAGCAGGGGTGGGGAAGCCACAGACGGCAAGCCTGCCCATTTGGCTTGTGAAGCCATTTTCATAACCTCCACCATTCCTCTGATGAAAATCAGGGCATGTGTGTTTTGGAGCCACGCTCTTGTTGGAGCCAGCTGACACACATGAAAGCACAGCACCACTCTAAGTGCCAGCTGCAAGTGTTGGCTCATCTTCCACCCTGAGCACAGTGTTAGTGGCGCTGGAGGGGGGAAACGGGACATTCTGGTATCAAATCAGAAGCCAGGATGGCTTCTGTAATTCCAGGATTGTCCTGGGAAAATTGGTACACTTGAAGGCTCTGCATTTTGTCCAAGCTGCACCCACCTACTCCACACCTGGTAAAACTGGGGCTTGGATGAAAGGGTCTTTGCAGAAACCACTGACCAGGTTATTAGTAGTGGCTGTAAAGCCCCTTGCACACAGATTCTGAAGCATTGACAGTCAGCTGATAATTGGTGCTTGGGAAGCATTGTGCAAAGGGGCTTTGCTGATTTCAACCTGCACAGGCAAAAATAGGTCACTTGGCATCACTTGGGTTGTCCCCATCTGTCTATCAAATTCAGCCCATGAATGTGAGTGGAGATAAGGATTCCTCAGCCTTGGCTCAAAGAATCTTCCCTTAAACAGTTCCAAGAAATGCGTTAAAAAGAAAGCAAAGCAAAGCTGAAGACTTAATTATTTCTCTCTTTCCTTACAGTAGAGGCGCTGAGAACAGACATGCCCTCCGACAGCAGACTATTGTCCGAGAGAAAGGCAGGAGGCTTGCCAATCGTGGACCGGCATATATGTTTAATGACCACTCAACCAGCCTTTCTATTGAAGAGGAGCGTTTTTTGGAAGCGGCAGAATATGGCAACATTCCTGTGGTCCGCAAGATGCTGGAGGAATGTACCTCGCTCAACGTGAACTGTGTGGACTACATGGGGCAGAATGCTCTGCAGCTTGCCGTCGCGAACGAGCACCTGGAAATCACTGAGCTCTTGCTTAATAAGGAGAACCTGTCACGGGTTGGGGATGCCCTGCTCTTGGCCATTAGCAAAGGTTATGTCCGGATAGTAGAAGCCATCTTGGGTCACCCTGCGTTCGCCGAAGGCAAGAGGCTGGCCACAAGCCCCAGCCAATCGGAGGTGCAGCACGATGACTTTTATGCCTACGACGAGGACGGCACCCGCTTCTCTCACGATGTGACCCCCATCATCCTAGCTGCTCACTGCCACGAGTACGAAATCGTGCACACCTTGCTGAGGAAAGGCGCTCGCATCGAGAGGCCTCACGACTACTTCTGCAAATGCAGCGAATGCAACGAGAAGCAAAAGCACGATTCCTTCAGCCATTCCAGGTCCAGGATCAATGCCTACAAAGGTTTGGCCAGCCCTGCTTACCTTTCCTTGTCTAGCGAGGACCCCGTAATGATTGCCTTAGAACTAAGTAATGAGCTGGCTGTGCTTGCTAACATTGAAAAAGAATTCAAGGTAAGTTGTTTTGGGCTTTTTTCTCTCCTGGGGTTAGGGGTTAGTTTTATAACAGAAGGCTGCTGCTGGATCAAGCCAAAGAGCCATCTATTTTGCCTCCTGTTTCCATTGGTTAACGTAAAAACATAAGAAGATCCTGATGGTTCTGGGCAATGCCACATCTGGTCAACCACTGTGGGGAACCTGCAAGTAGGACCCAAACACAAGAACACTCTTCCCTTCTGCCATGATTTTTTTTTTTTTGAGGGGGTATGTGGCTGCTGCCGTCTCTGCTGCCACTCCCACCCCCCAGAGGCGTTCTGGTGCCACCTGCCAAAACTGGTCTATTACAAAGTGGGGTGGCTAGAGCTTCTTTTCCCTCCTTTCAATGACACACGGGCCACTCTAGCCATGTGACTTTGTGGTAGAGAAGGACTGCTTTGCTCTTTCCGCTATAGCCTAATCCTTCAAATGTCTCCAGGAAGTCCACAGATAGGGAATGAAGTTTTGTCTCCCCAGTGTCCGGCATTCTGAGGTATACTGCCCCCCAGAGTATGGGGGGATCAATTTAGTTATGAAAATGTGGAGCTGTCATTGTTTGGCTACAGGGTAAGAAGCCAGGCACAGCTAAGGATGTTATTGATTACTCAGCCTACAGTGGAAAAAATATATATTGTCATGCCAGTTTAAGGGGAATCTAATGAACCACCTTTAGATCGCTTTCACATTGCCAAAGATGAGGACAAAAGAGGGTGCCAGTTTGCACAAAACATGTGCATGCTAATTTGCATGTACAGGTGCAAATTTATAAATAATTACTTTAATTTTAACCATGCATCTCACCATAGTGGGGGAGACTGTGGCCTGGTGACCTGTGTGACTGCTTGGTTTGCCTCTGTGCAGGTGATCACTGCTGATGGGAAAATACAAGCCCCTCCGCACTCTCCTCCTCCTCCTAAAATGGACTTGGAGCAGACAGGACTTGTGCCAGTCACCTTTGAATAAAGCTAGATGGGTCACTAGTTAATGTTATGCTTGTTGCTTATTAAAAAAAAGGCCGATTTCTGTGGCTTCTTTTCCTTCACAGAATGATTACAAAAAATTGTCTATGCAGTGCAAAGACTTTGTGGTTGGACTTCTTGATTTATGCAGAAACACAGAAGAAGTAGAAGCTATTCTAAACGGAGATGTTGAACTGCACCACGGGGAGCACGGACGCCCTAGCCTTAGCCGCCTAAAACTTGCCATAAAGTATGAAGTCAAAAAGGTAAGCTCTGGTTTAAGTAGCTGATTGGGTCGGAGATGTTTCCATTAATTTCCTTCCCATTTATCTTCCTATCCAAGTACTGGTGATATTGAGCATCAAATAACACACAGAGTTCCATTTGTCCTTGTCCCAATGAATCAGCATGTGAAGATAAACCTTCCTGAACTTTCTGGATAATTTGGAAGTGCTTTCGGCATTCAATTTAGCATTTATATATCCTGCAGTACATAAGTGGAAACCTACAGGACATACAGCCCACATGCAGTACATGTTTCAGGGCTATAGCTAAGTGGTAGAGCACATGTTTTACACCCAGAAAATCCCAGGTTCAATCCCTGATATCTCCAGGTAGGACTGGGAAAGATCCCTTTCTGAAACATTGGAGAGCCACTTCCAGTCCGACGGAGCAGTGTTGTGACTTGGTGCAAGGCAAATATCAATAATTGGAACTAGTCCTAAATGCTAACAGACTGCCACTGAAGTTCTTTCAAAATTGGCATGTTCTGCATAAACTTGGGCTGCACCAGTCAAAATTATAATATAGCCCAATTGCATTACAGTCCCTTCCCCCCAAAAAACCCCAATTTCAATGAAATGAAAGCCTTTGAAGATTTGGAGAGGTCCATGTGAGTATCAACTACATGGGTGGGGGACACCCAACTTTGGAGAAAGTCGCTCTATAGCTTCCATGAGGTGCCTGCGGTGCAGATTTTATTTAAATGTAGCTAAAGTGCACCTCACATTTTCAGAGGCACAAGGCCTCTCCTACAAAATGCTGTGATCCAGTAAAAGGGGATGGATGCTGCCACCGTGCCTAGATTGAAAAATTTCCCAGAGGCATCTTTCAAGCCATGTCTGAACACAATTTACACCATCTGCTTGACCCAACCTGGCAGTTTTTATTTGTAGTAAGAATCTTCTGGGGAAACCTGGAGGGGGGAAAACATTTTAAAGGATGAAACTGCAGAAAACGTAAAACCCAGTGTGTTGTCTTGACAAGGAAACTTCCTGCCTTATATAGGCATGTATTGCACACAGAAGCTTCTTTCATCCACACTGCTGCTCTTCCCTTTGTGATAATCACATGAAGATTACCTGCATTGTTTCTGTTTTAATACCTTCGCTAGCGGCTAATTATGAAATGAGTGGCAGTAATGTTCTCTTGTGCTCCTTTCCTTTGTCGTTTAGTTTGTAGCACATCCAAACTGCCAGCAGCAGCTCCTCTCTATCTGGTATGAGAATCTGTCAGGTTTACGACAACAGACGATGGCGGTGAAGTTTTTAGTGGTTCTTGCTGTTGCTGTTGGGCTGCCGTTCCTGTCGATGGCTTATTGGATTGCTCCATGCAGTAAGGTACTAGTTGGTGCAAGGTTGCATCAGCCTTTTAAAACAGTTTCTGTACTTCGCTTGCATGCAGATTTGAAAGTGGGCTAAAGTGAAGCATGCACAATAAACAAGAGAGGCACTTAGCAATGCTTTAGTAGCAAGTTATTTATTGTAATGGTGTGAAGGCAGGATCACACACCTTGTTCTCAATAAAAAGCAGCGAAAGCATTATGATCAACTTAATTTGCTTTTCATTTGTGAAGGTGGCAGGAATGGGGGAGAAAACAGTTACTGAAAGGCATCATTTATGTCTTTTGTGTTTGTTCCTGTGCTGTTTGTTAGCACCACACATGCATATAATCTCTCTCTCTCTCTCTCTCTCTCTCTCTCTCTCTCTCTCTCTCTGTGTGTGTGTGTGTGTGTGTGTGTACTTTATCATTTGAAGCCTTAAGCCTTTTAAACTAGTGTACTGGTACTGAAAACGGGACAGCTTGAAGCTAACGAAAAATCTGATTGCATAATGAAATACCAACATCCAATATCAACATTACATTATGAAATATCAACAGCAATGACAGCATCAACATAGACCAAGACGCCATGCTGGTGCTGCAGTCCAGTTACACGAGCAGAGTAGCTAAATGTTTACATTGCTGTGCAATTGCCTTTAAACTGAAGACCCAGGGGAGCAGGCCCAGGGCAGTAAGAAGATAAAGAGATTTGTGACATGTTTTTCAATGGCCCAGTACACATGTAACACTAAGCCAAACTATGGCTGAGTACAAATGAGCAAGTGCCCACAGACTGAAAAACATGGCTACTTTGCTGCTGGCTGGAGCGAAGTCATGGATTGGCTTAGTGTTATGTCCAAACCCAGGGTCCCTAAGACAAACCATGAGTGCCAAACCAAACCTTGTGGTTTGTCTAGAATAAAACAAACCACTAGCCTGGATTCAGAAGCAATGCGGAACCAAATCATGGCTTAGCGCTGTGCAGCATGGCGGCAGCAGTGCTGGGTGGAGCTAAACGGCTGTGATTTTTACTCCATTCACTTGCTCGTTTATGTCATGGCTTGGCTTAGCATTGCATGTGGACCAGGCCATTGTGGCATAAATGTTCCCAGGCAACTGAAACTCTGGAGAGCCACTGCCAGCCATACTGGCTTTTTTTTTACTGCTGCTTATTACGTCCCACATCTGTCTTCTGCCCACTCTGACCCGCTTTCCTGGCACCTTCAAGTGATGCTATTTCCCAGCCTCATCCTCACTTGTGAATTCAGGCAGGTAATCAATTTGAAAGGACACTGCCAAGGTATTTCGTTTATCATTTACAAAGTGTGTTTTAATCATTGCTGTCTTTAACCATCCCCTTGGAAGCTTTAAAAAGGAGCTTGTCAGTATAAACAACAAGCTTTATTAGGGGGAGGGAATAGTCATTTAGCCTCTGAAGGGACTGACAGACTGTTTTGCAAAAGAAAAACAAAACTATTTTAGGCTGCCGCCTAAACAAACTTACAGGAGCATTAGTCTCAATGAATTAGACTTGCTTCTGAGTTAAAGTGCGTGTTGCCACTTATTTATTTGGTTGGAGGATGAGGGTGGAATGGAAGATTTCCTAAAGAATTTAGCAGACTAGTGTGCGAGCATTTGGCTTACCACCTTTATTAATATTACGATCAGCCATCATTAACGTTTCGTAAACAGATTTATTATCTTCTGGCCATTTTTCCCACTGGCCTTCCACTCCTTCCTAGCTTAAACATGCTTAAATAATATTTTTAATGGCATAAATATGTGAAAAAATAAATTTCCATTTTGGTTGACTCTGTTCGCACAAAAGAATGCCTTTCTAACTCCTTCAATAGTCAGGTTAGTATAAACAGTTCGAGTTGATATTATTCTAAATGTTTTATACCTGAAGCAAATTTAGCTAATGGGCCTCCTGCTGCCACCCCGCCGCCGGAGCCCAATTTCTGTTCTTATCCTGAAGCAAAGTTCTTAACCTGAAGCACTATTTCTGGGTTAGCGTAGTGTGTAACCTGAGTGTATGTAACCTGAAGCGTATGTAACCTGAAGCGTATGTAACCTGAGGTACCACTGCAAACCACAGTTATTGCAAATACAGTTTCCCTCATTCAGTGAGCTACTATGTTTGCTTCCTTCTCTTCCCAAACCTTTTCCCATGAGCTGTGAGCAGCCAACTCACCACATCCTGGAAAGTTTCTCCGCTGCCTGACGCTTCCTGCCTGACGCTTTTGACGTCTTGTGTTCCAACATGTCATGCACCCCTTCCCCGTGTAAATTGACCAGAGCCTGCATGCCTCTCAAATTAATCTGGCTCTGGAGTGCTGACTATGAAAGTATTTAAAACCTATGGGAAATTCCAATGCCTACTATTTCTAACAGTCTCTAATTTCAATCTAATGGTTATATTTATTCGCTTTCTAAAAGATAATTTGCTACCCTCCTATAGAACTGAGCAAACAGGGTGGTTCAAGTTTTCCATAGGCTTTACACAGAATCCTGGATCTTCCCCATCTTTTCCACATTTTTTGGTGGCTAGGGAAACAATTTCTAAACTTGCAATCCTATGCACACTTACTTGGGATTTGCTTCCATTGAATAGGTTTGGCAAGAGGAGGGAGACAGTCACAGATGCGCTCAGAATACTGAGTTGACCCTCTAATCCTTGGGTGAGAAGTCTTCTTCAGGCTGAAGGCTGCATTACCTGGTAGAAAGCTGGCAGGAGCCATATTTGAATAGTGTGCAGGGCCACATTCAACCACACACCTGACCGACACACCCTTAACATACAGGGACATACACCATCATACACAGTCAAGTATACGCACAAAACTATTTCCCATAGAAAGAGACATAGATTTAACTCCTAGTAATTCCACTTAAATTTCATCGTACATTTTCCCTGTAGACTTCGCAAAAAAAGTTCGTAAAGTAATAGCCATTGATATAGCTTTATTGTCCATGAATTTGTCAAATCCCATTCTTTTTTTCTTTTTACATTTTCCAAATTTATTATACACATCTTACATTTTTTGTGGGTTTTTTGCTATTTCCAGCTTTGACAAAGTAATAATAAATAAATAAATAAATAATTTGAATAAAAATGTACACCCCACCCCCCATGACTATTCCATTGTAACTATCCAACCTCCCAGAATTTCAAAACCTCTTGCGATGGTTTGACCCCTTTCCGTTTTAACAGTACAAATTCTACAAACACCTTCCATATCTCCTCAAAATCATTTCTCCTGCATACTCCCCGTCTTACTTTAATAGCACATGTTAATTTATCATCTAATCCCATTCTAAAGCTGTCCAAGTTTCGAGTCATTGCTGTATCTTGTAGAAGCAAATGCCACAGTTTAAATATGCACTGTGTTAGGAAATATTACTTTTTGTCTCTCCTGAAGCTTCTAGCATTCAGCTTTATGAATGACCCTGGGTTCTAGTATCATGAAAAAGGGAGAAAAACATCTCTCTATCTGCTTCCATGCACAATTTTTATACATCTCTATCTTCTTCCCTTTTACTTGATTTCTCCCCCAAACTAAAAAGCCCCTAGCCCCAAACGTTTTAACCTGTACTCACAGAGATGTTGTTGTAGCCCATTGAATAATTTTGCTGTCCTTTTATGAGCTTTCCCAGCTCTACCGTATCCTTTCTAAGGTGAGGCAACCAGATCTGAAGTCAGCGGTTCGAATCCCCACAATCAGTCCCTGCTTCTGCCAACCTAGCAGTTCAAAAGCACATCAAAGTGCAAGTAGATAAATAGGTACCGCTCCGGAGGGAAGGTAAGGGCCGTTTCCATGCGCTGCTCTGGTTCGCCAGAAGCGGCTTAGTCATGCTGGCCACATGACTCGGAAGCCGTACGCCGGCTCCCTCGGCCAATAAAGCGAGATGAGCGCTGCAACCCCAGAGTCGGCTACGACTGGACCTAACGGTCAGGGGTCCCTTTACCTTTTTAACCAGATCTCCAGAATTCCAAGTGTGGCCTCGCCATAGATTCATAAAACAGCTTTATGTTTTGGTAGTTTTGTTTTCAATCCCTTTCCTTACAAACCTAGTGTCGAGTTTGACCTTTCCACGGCTGACGCACACCGGCTCGACATTTTCACTTGGCTATCCATCCTGACCCCAAGTCTCTGTCACTTCAGACTCCATTAGCGTACATTTGGAGTTAGGACTTCACACGCATTGATCTGCATTTGTCATTTTTAAGCCATGCCCTGACACCCTTATTACCCAAGAAGCTGTCTGCCTTCAGTTCCCCAGAGCCTGGCAGGGAGCTGTAATCCCAGAAAAGGTTCAGAAAAGACTGGGATGTATAGATCTTCTCAGGCAGCTCTTCCCTCTTCCTCGACATCTGCCGCATCCCAATGGGCTCCAGGTCCTTCTCTGGCTCCTCCTGAGTACAGCCCAGGAAGTTCAACCCTCTGACTGCCAGCCAAGTGCATCTGTGCCAGCTCTGGACTTCTTGCCAGGCCAGCAATGACACCTCTGCACCTGGGAGGGCTGCAGGCAAAGGAAGATAGTCAGGGGTCCTGGTGGGGGTCTGGTGTACGTGGCGTCATCAGGGGCAGGCGGCATTCTTGGGGGGCTGGATGTTTTTGGTGCTGAAGGTCTATGCAGGGTTCCACTCCACTTCTTTGGCTGAGGTCCTCATGGAGTTATTGTTGGTCTAGACCAGTGTTTCTCAACCTTGGGTCCCCAGATGTTGTTGGACTACAACTCCCATCATCCCTGAGCTCTGGCCTTGCTAGCTAGGGATGATGGAAGTTGTAGTTCAACAACATCTGGGGACCCAAGGTTGAGAAAGGCTGGTCTAGACTCTGTCTGAGGCAGAGGGTAAGGGAAGCAGTTTTCCCATGATGCACTCCTGTCACACACAAGTGCCACAGCCTGGCACTCTCCTGGGTTGTTGTGTATATATAAAAAATAAATTTTGGTGATATGCAAAGTAACAAAGTAGCTTGCAGCTAGGTGATTGATAGCTTCTTTGTAAAGACAATGTCCAATTCAAATGAACTTTACTTTCATAAACATATAACTGAGAATATATTTACAATCACATGCTTTGTCAAACATGGGTATGTTCTCACTTGAATTGTAGATGGAAGTCTTTGGCGTTTTTTATGAAATGTTTTTACTTTCACCTCAACAGTATTCTCTTTGTTCCTTACAGAGAGCTCCTGCACGGGTTTCTCCCTATTAATGTTTAGGGATCTTCCTCTGTTTGTTTCACTTCAGCTATATCTCACAGACACACACTATCTACAGCAGATTCCTGAGAAGTTTCTCTCAACAGCCATTCTCCCTCACACACAGAGAGAAAACAGGGAGAGCAGTTAAAAATGACAGTTACTGGAATAAAAGTCACAACAGAATGGAATGCCTCTCTCATGTGACTCACAGTCAGCCAATCACTTGAGAGCTACTACCAAAGGAAATCCCCCATGTTAAAAGCACACAGTAATTTAACATAAGTAAACATGCCCTTTTTCAGGAATTTAAACCATTATCCTTAACGTGAGTTGGAGAGGGATGCCCTGTAAGTGGACCACTGCCTGACCACGCTGTGGTCATTGAAACATAGGAAACTGCTTTTATACCAAGTCAAAACTCTGGCTCATCTAAACCAGTATTGTCCATGCTGGTTGGCAGTAGGTCTCCATGCTTAGAGACAGAAGTATTTGCCAGCCATCCCTGAAGATGCCAGAGATTGCACTTAGGGACTCTCGCACGGGACTCACGTGCTTTACCTCTCAGTTATGCCCCTTCTCAGCTGTGTTTCTTCAATCTGTGGTTCCCACCTTGATGGTGGCAGCAACCATTGTGCCATAGCATCATCTGGCATTTCTACTCCTCTGTCCCCTGCACTGCTGTAATCCTGAAGTCTCTGGGCAATTTGAGCAACATACAGGGTATATGGAAGTACAGAAAACTGCAAAAGGCTAATTAGAAATAGCATTAAGGGGTAATTATTTTATGCAAAGCATTCTCTCTTGTTTCTTCACTGTGTCTGGCTGTTGTTTCTTTTTGATACCAGCCTTCTCAAGATAAATTTATTTTGGTGGGGGAGTGATGTAATCTTTAAAATATCTCTCTTTTTTTATTTTTGCAGTTGGGTAGAATAATGCGCGGACCCTTTATGAAATTTGTGGCACATGCAGCCTCTTTCACCATTTTCCTTGGTTTGCTGGTCATGAATGCGGCAGACAGGTTTGATGGCACCAAACTGAAGCCCAATGAAAGCAGAACGGATGGAAAACAGCTGTTCAGGATGAAAACTTCGTGCTTCTCGTGGATGGAGTTGCTGATTATCTCATGGGTAATAGGTAAAAAACATATCACAAAGCTGTGTCTTGCAACCATAGCAGAGGACTGTGTGTCTGTTAAGCCTCTTTTCTCTTATAGTGGTATGAGACACAAAGTGAAGGGTCTTGTTGAATTCCACATTCATTCATGTGTATCCCTTGCGTAGGTTGTGGGTGGAAAATGCCACAGCGTTCTTCCTTTCTTTGGTGCTTTTCACGAAACACATGCATTTATGTGTTAGCACACCAAACAAAGAACATTTGAGGTGCATTTTCAGAATGCTCTGATTATATCAGATGATCTACTTATTCATACAAGCAAACACATTCTGAATCAGATCTGTTAAGTCTCTGCCAATTAACCTGGTTCCAAAACCCAGCTCCTACATTCTTAGTTATAGAGAAGACAGTTCACCCCAGAAAACACCGTTGATTGTCACATCTTAAAGCACCCAGCACCGTACAGATGACATGTTGTTATTAATTCATTTAAAATTTACATTTCAGAAGCCTAGAAAAGGGGTGCAAGTTTCAATGTGTACACATGTTACTCTTGTTATAGCTAAAAGAAAGAAAGAAAAGGAATACACCTTCTGTTTCCTTCTTCTAAACCTTATGCAGAAAAAAAAGAGGTGGCATGTTACTTTGAAAGTGCCGAAAATTCAGGGAGGCTGCATTATCTAAAATAAGAATTAAATCTTTTAAAGCCAATTTTTAAAAAGAAAGTTGATAGACTTTTAAAAAAGAAAGTTGATAGTTAGCAGGCAAGACAGAAACTTGATGCTAATGAGTGTATTCAGATATTGTCAGTGAGCACTGGAGATTACTAATATGCAACATCAGAGAAATCCAAATTGGTAGGAGATAGCGTTTCTGGTTGATTAGGTGTTATGCATTAGAAGCTACTATAAAATGTAATAAAAAGTTAATGAACCGAGAACTGTAGGAGACATGAAGGAGCAAGTAGATATCTGAAAGCTGTATAAATTGTGAAGGAGAAACACACACAATCACATACATAGGATAATAATTATAACACACATTCATTTGTTTGAAATGCCATCTAAAACTCATAGCGAGCTGAAGATCTGTGCAGCACCTTTACATTTCCAGCTGCAGGAGAAGGCGGATGCAGCTCGTCCCAAATCTTTTTCAACTTTGGTTAAGATATCTTCCTGTTTTGCTGCCTGCTAACAGCAGGGGGTGCTTTTAGGGTGCAGTTGCTCAAGGTGGCCCAGTCTTGAGTTAAATATTAAATTCAAAAGGGATCCCAGCTGCGTGAAACATGCACTATTCTTAAGTAGTGTAGGGTGGTAGAAGAATGAGAAGCTCATTGTTCAGAGGCTGGCCTCTATGCTCAATTCTCTCTCTCCCTCCCTCTCTCCCTCCCTCCGTCCCTCCCTCCCTCTCCACACACTAGCTCTCAGCTCATATCAGCTTCTGCTTCTGCAGCAAAGCTCTGCTCCCAAGTCACAGCAGTCAGAAATGGCGTGGTCAGTTGCTAGGCTCTAAACATCGCTTCTTTACGAATTCATTACACCAGAAACCTTATTTGAATGATCATCCCTGGGGAGCCACAGCTCACCTTGGCAAATCTAGCAGGGAGGGAGGCTGAGACACCTTCTGCCATTCCAAGATTGCTAGCAAACTGGCCTCTCTCACCAGTGTTTGCTATAGAAGGGGCACTGATAAAAGCTGTTGGTGTATGAAAACCCATAGCCTGCTGCGCTGGTAAATTCAAAGCTAGAGTGCCGATATCCACCTTGCAATTTGACAACTCTCCACAAAGCCAATTGCCACCCTACCATTTTTACATAATGAATAGGGAATCTAATAGAATTTGTTGGTATCCATCTTGAGAGACAATGGAACGAACCTCCGGGGGGTGAAGTCAAAGAGCTGCAGCATCACAGCGCCTGCTGTGGCTGCAGCAACTGGGAACTCATAACTGCTGCCTCCTGCATTGTTTTTACTGCGTTAGCAGCACTGAACTGACCTCCCTGCGCAGAAGCCTAGGCAGTGTGCATGGAAGTCCTGGGCTGCCCAGATGACAACACCCCACTTTTCAGCCTTGCTAATGTGGTCCAAAGGAAAGCAGAGCAATGTGTTTGGTACCAGCTTAGCTGCAGAAGTTGCCTGAAGGAGGCATGCAAGGCACCATCCAACCATCTTAGGGACTCCACCCAAGATTTGCGTAGGGTTTAGTCCTTAGGCTTTTCTTCTCCCAATGATGTCCCACAAAGCAATGGATGGAATATTTCTTGTATAAATAAAATAAGAGCTTAGTTTCATTTTTCAAAGCCTGTATCCCTACTTCTCAAGACATGGGACTCAAACAGATATATTTGATATTTTCTATGACATTTTGTGGAAAGCTAATGCTGTGTGTGCTCTCTTCTTTCCTCCTCTAGGTATGATATGGTCCGAGTGTAAAGAGATTTGGTCCCAAGGTCCCAAGGAATACCTGTTTGAGTTGTGGAATATGCTAGATTTCGGGATGCTAGCTATTTTTGCAGCTTCGTTCATTGCGAGGTTCATGGCATTTTGGCATGCTTCCAGAGCCCAGAGCATAGTCGATGCAGGTGTGGATATGAAGAACTTGAAAACGGTGACATTGCCTCCCAGTATAAAATACTACACTTTGGGTGAGTTTATGAACCATTGAGATTTGTGTTGGCTGAGCAAAGGAGAACTGTTCCAGTTCGGGTTCTACCCTCCCGATCAGGAGAAAACTGGCTTGCTCCATCTTCCATGTGACAGGCCTTGAGATATTTGAAGGTGGCTGCCATATCTGCTCTCATGTCTCCTCTTATCCAGGCGACCCCCTCAACCATTCCTCATAAGGCTTGGGTTCCAGACCCTTGACCATCTTGGTCACCCTCTTCTGCACACGTTCCAACTCGTCAATATCCTTCTGAAATGGTGGCACCCAGAACTGGACACAGAACTCTAGGTGTTATCTGACCAGGGCAGAATAGAGTGGTACTATTACTTCCCTTGATTACTTCCCTAGACTTCTCTTGATGCAGCCAAGAATAGCATTACCTCTTTTTGCTACTGCATCACACCGTTGACTCATGTTAAGTTTGTGGTCTACTAAGACCCCATGATCCTTTTCACATGTAAGGCCATTGCGGGATAAAATGTTTTCATCTAGAGCTTATAAGGAACTCATTACTACTGAGCTGCATGTCCTCTTCTTTTCACAACCCATGCAAGCAGTGGAGATTTTCAGTGACTTTCAGTGAGCTTACAACTCCTGCCTGGCAAGGCAGCAGCAAGTTTCATATTCATTTTCTTTCCTAAAATATCCTATAAAAATAATTTTCTTCTGCTTGAAGAAAATGCCCCGATGGGAATGACGCTATCCTTTGGATGGCTTTAAAGACTGATGTAGTTGTGATGTTATATAGATATACATAAACACATCAGTTTTTTTATGTTTACAACATCATCATTATTATTATTTTTATTAAAAAATATTTTTAAAATTATTTAGCTTATTTTTATCCTTAAACCATTTGATTTCCTTATATTGTGAACCCCTTTGGGAACATAACTATTAATATGTAGAAAGAGTGCTGTAAGTTGCCCTGGGCTTATAGAGCAGGTTGTAATTCAAACGAAGAAATGGGAATCTTCATTTTTAGCTGCAGTTTATACACTCCCCCTTACTGTATAACTAGTTTCTTCACGTAAAATTGAGAGGTTATGAACAATCAGAAGTTACAGTGAGATAAAGTGATGTGTGCTGGACAGAAAAGCAATAGCTAGCGCAGTCCTCTGCATGTCTACTCAGAAGTAAGCCTCACAGAGTTCAGCAGGACTTTCTTTCAGATAAGCGTGTACAGTGGTACCTCGGGTTAAGTACTGAATTCGTTCCTGAGGAACTTAACCTGAAACTGTTCTTAACCTGAAGCACCACTTTAGCTAATGGAGCTGCTGCCACGCCGCCGGAGCACGATTTCTGTTCTCATCCTGAAGCAAAGTTCTTAACCTGAAGCACTATTTCTGGGTTAGCAGAGTCTGTAACCTGAAGCATATGTAACCTGAAGCGTATGTAACCCGAGGTACCACTGTATAGGATTTCAGGCTCCACCACCAGTTTCTAGGAAGCAATGGCAATTTATAACAGTGGACAATCTGCTCTTCACTTCCTAAGCAATATAATTCTGAACCCACTGCAGTTGCAATGGATGAGTTTGAGAGCTGTTAGGTTTTTAGTTTCATGGGAGGTTTTTAAGCAGAGGTTGGATGGCCACCTGTCATGGATGCTTCAGTTGAGATTCCTGCATTGCAAGGGGGTTGGACTAGATGGCCCTCGGGGTCCCTCCCTATTCTACAGTTCTATGATTCTATCTTTCACAATGCAGTTCGTATGTTGTTGTTGTTTTGTAATGGAGGTGACTCTCAACTTACACTGGGGTTATGTTCTAGGGGTAGCACAGAAGCCAAATTTACATATACTCAAAACGCATTGTGTTCAATTATGAGTGGGATCCCTAAAGTCTTGTTTCCTAGATGACCACCCCCTTTCCACCCCCTTTTCATTTATTTATTCTTATTTTGGCAAGTTACCTGTATTTCAAAATGAAGAAAGAATGATTAATAAAAGGATAACTGTGAACAGAATTGTTCATTTGTTTATTTCATCTCTCTCCTTTTTTTATTACTCTTAATGTAAAGCCAGGTAACTGCATAGTCATAAAATTAAATGAAATAACTTTTTTAAAAAAATAAGAAGAAGGAGACACTGAAATGTCAAAAACCAGAGGGGAAAATGCAACTGTATGCAAAGCCATTACTAGGAGTGAGCCTGGGCAATGATGTATCAATACATTGCTTAGGACCTGTTTGAAGGCTAGAGCATGATGACGCCTTCTCCCGAGTCTTGTTTTCCCCTCAGTGCACCAGGCACTGAAAGCAGAGGAACTCCCTCCAGCACCCAGCACATGGAGGAACGAGCTGGCTTTCACTCTGGCCAGGGTGGATCCACTGCCACTCCTGCTGAGGGAGCTGAGGTGATTTCACCCCGGTGCCTCACGGGACCAGGCCCGATACAGCTTGTTCCTCCCTCCACTTTTCAACATCGCAATGTGTCACTATATTGCGATGTTTGACTGGTGATACATTGCAATGTTGAAAAGCTGATATTACCCAGCCCTAACTAGGGGCTGCAGTTCATACATTAATAGCCACAGAAACGGCATGTGGGTAATGTCACAAATTTGCCGGAGAAGAAGCAGCCATTTTGCTGTTGTCTCTCTGTGCTGACATCCCTCTGAAAGGTGCTTCTCTTGTTCACAAGCGCTTTACTTCTGATCGCAAGGGGATGCACAGCAAGATCTCCAGACATTGGCTTAACGTTTGGGCAGCTAAATATGGAACATATATCAAAACATTAAACAGATGTTCTTGTGGGTTTTCTTTTGGTTTTTTTTTACAGCAAGAATAGACTGGGATCCATCCGACCCTCAAATCATATCTGAAGGCCTATATGCAATCGCTGTGGTCTTAAGCTTCTCAAGAATCGCCTATATTCTGCCTGCCAATGAAAGCTTTGGACCTCTACAGATATCGCTTGGCAGAACTGTGAAAGACATTTTCAAGTTCATGGTCATATTTATCATGGTTTTTGTGGCCTTCATGATAGGAATGTTTAATCTCTACTCTTACTACCTGGGGGCAAAGCAAAATGAAGCCTTCACTACGTAAGTAAATGTTGAAATCTGCTTTTGCTGTAGTAAGTGTAGATGATTTTGTTGGAAGGCAATCAGTCGGATTTAAGCGCATTCGCTGTTGTAATGTTAAGTATCCAAACTATGGCCATGGTTAGCTATGGTCTGCAATTCCTAAATATTGATTTTCCAACCATCTTTCCTCAGCTAGCAGTAGTGATGCATCTAAATGCCAAGCACATTTACTATAAAGTAATTCTAAAGGCACTTCCATGTTAATGGATTCATGGTGATTGGCGCATTCAATAAAAGTGCTGGTTATCCCTTTGGGGCAATCCTTCGATTTCTACTAGTCCAGACGGACTACCAGGATCAGTTCAGATGTCACCCCCAAAAGCAGCTGCTATGGTAGCTCTGAACAGCCGCAACAACCAGCAGATAGAAGCACCTGCTTTGCATTATAGATTAGGTCCTCTTTTATATTATTTAGTTTGCATAAATACATAATGCACTCCTCCTATGCGAGATGTATTAGGACAAGGTCTGTTTGTGCATAACAAGAGTGTGATGTAGACATCTTTAGTCAGTGCTGCATAGTTTAGTTGCTAGTGTCCATATATGTCACTAGGTCCATTAAAATTTAAATGATGCTTGTGCATGCTAAAGTATCTATCAACTGAAGCTACTTCCATTGCACGTTTTTCCACTGTGCAAAAGCAGAGGTTGATCATGCCTGCTTGAACATTTAAAATGTGGACACTTTTAACATTATCATGACATGCCTGATTTTCCTGCGCCATTAACATGTGCAGAGGAGGGCAACCAAGATGATCAAGGGTCTAGTAACCAAGCCTAACAAGGAACTGTTGATGGAGCTGGTGTGTTTAGCCAGGAAAAGAGGAGAGTGAGAGGAGATATGATAGCCATCTTCAAGGGCTGTCACATGGATGTTGGAACAAACTTCTTTTCTCTTGCTCTGGAGGGTAGGATCCATACCAATGGATTCAAGTTACAAGAAAGGAGATTCCAACTAAGCATCCGGAAGAATTTTCTGACAGTAAGAGCTGTTTGACAGTGGAACAGTCTCAATCGGGAGGTTGTGGGCTCTCCTTCCTTGGAGCTTTTTAAGCAGAGGTTGGATGGCCATCTGCCATGGACGCTTTAGCTGAGATTCCTGCATTGCAGGGGGTTGGACTAGATGACCCTTGAGGGTCCTTCCAACTTTGATTCTATGATCATGAATTGGAGTTGGTGCCGACACAGGGCTTGTCCCATGCCTAGAACGCATGGGTCTGAGGTTTTCCGCTTCTCTTGCGCTTTCTAGACATGGGTCTGAGTGGTTTTGCCCTTGCCCTGCCTCTTTCTTCAGGAAAACCCGGTCTTAAGTGATATATCAGAGCAAACAGCAATCTGGAGAAAACCTGATTGACGTTTGCTCTGATTCAGCGGTAATACAGTGGTACCTCGGATTACATATGCTTCAGGTTACATACGCTTCAGGTTAGAGACTCCACTAACCCAGAAATAGTACCTCGGGTTGAGAACTTTGCCTCAGGATGAGAACAGAAATTGCGCAGCCGCGGCGCGGCAGCAGCAGGAGGCCCCATTAGCTAAACTGGTGCTTTAGGTTAAGAACAGTTTCAGGTTAACAACGGACCTCCGGAACGAATTAAGTACTTAACCCGAGGTACCACTGTAGTCAGGTTTCCCCAGGGGGGAAAAGTGGGGCAAGGGCAAGCCTAGATGGTCCCATACTCAGCTTTTACAGATCTTTTACTCCACTGTTATGCTCATGTTTCTGGGATTTATTTTTCTTTCTTTCAGAGTGGAAGAAAGCTTCAAGACTTTGTTCTGGGCAATATTTGGACTCTCAGAAGTGAAATCAGTTGTCATAAACTATAGGCACAAATTTATTGAGAACATTGGTTATGTCCTTTATGGGGTTTATAACGTCACCATGGTTATTGTTCTGTTGAACATGCTTATCGCGATGATCAACAGCTCATTCCAAGAGATTGAGGTAATAATGCTCTTTTGAACTACCTTTAGCTTACTCAGTCATCATTGAGTAATGATGTGGTCGGGCTCCCAGCTCCCCTCAGCCCCAGCCAGCATGGGCAGTGGTCAAGGTATATCAGGAATTATAGTCCAGTGGCATCTGAAGGGCCACAGGTATTCCATCCCTGCTTTATTAAATCAGTACAATTTTTCAGAACAAATAGAAATTCATGATCAAAAAACAAACTCTCAGTAGGACTAGCACTGGTTACAACCCCAAGTTGCTTAAATGTGCCATTATTTCAACAGGACTTGAGCTAAGTCAGTATTAATTTGTCCTACGGATTTCAATGGAGCCTAAGTTCAACTACATTAGACTGTGTCCAAGTCAAATTCCTTAGAATCATGACCTGCCAGTGAGCTTCTTCCAACCACCTAGCTGATCACAATCAGAAATGGGCTGAACACAAGTAGAACCTCAATCCACCCGTTATCTGATCCAGGCGAGCTCTTCCTATGAAGTAGTGTTACTGTTATTTCCTGCAGTTTAGTTCAGCACAGGAGTCTAGCTGGAGTCTGAGCATCCAGCAAAACAACTTTTGCGTATCATTTCAAATGACCACTGCTTAATTCTTTTCTCTGCCTTCCAGGATGATGCTGATGTGGAATGGAAGTTTGCAAGAGCAAAACTGTGGTTCTCCTATTTTGAGGAGGGCAGAACGCTCCCGGTGCCGTTCAACCTAGTGCCTAGCCCCAAATCTCTGATTTACTTCTCGCTCAGAATAAAGAAGTGGGTTTTTAAGTTGTTGTTTTGCAATAGAAAAGGTTTCCAGGAAGACGCTGAGATGAATAAGGTAACTTCGCAATGGAGTAAACCCGCCGCATTCTGGAATTGTAAACAACTTTATGCAACGCATGACTCCACTGGAGGAGGGCAATTCATTCCAGACCTGCACCACTAAATAAAATGGTTGTTTTCTTTCAAGGGTTTCTGGTAGAAATTCCCTAACCTACAAAGTTAATTTGATGGCTGCAATTTTAGAAACACGCAGAGCAATCCAAATTCTGGATCTGCTATGCTGGAGGGAGTGTGGAGGTGTCCAAACGCCTAGCCCAGCCTGGCTCTGCTGGCCGCAGGGTTTCTAAATGTAGTCTTGAGTTAGCAAATGCTGTCAAGGGGGTTCTTGGTAGAGAGAAAAACATCCTTCATTTCTCTTGATTACAGTTTTGAAGTCTGGAGGGTGAATTGCCTCTGATTCAGTGTCCATTGTGGTGGAAATGTGGAACCTAAACCAATGGTCATATGTGCAGGAAGGAATGTCCGTGGGCTTAGCTTTGAACACACAGATATCCCAGAGAGCAGTGCTGCCTGCTGACTCATTTTACTAGTTATGGATTGGAATGTGCATATTACCCAAGAGTAAGGTAAAGGTAAAGGACCCCTGGATGGTTAAGTCCAGTCAAAGGCAACTATGGGGTTCCGGCGCTCGTCTCCCTTTCAGGCCGAGGGAGCCGGTGTTTGTCCACAGGCAGCTTTCCGGGTCATGTGGCCAGCATGACTAAACCACTATTGGCGCACGGAGGACCGTGACGAGTGCCAGAGTGCACTGAAACACCATGTACCTTCCCACTGCTGCGGTACCTATTTATTTACTTGCACTGGCATGCTTTCAAACTGCTAGGTTGGCAGGAACAGGGACTGAGCAACGGGAGCTCACCCCGTCCCCGGGATTCGAACCACTGACCTTCCGATTGGCAAGCTCAAGAGGCTCAGTGGTTTAGACCACAGTGCCACCCATATTGCAGGGCTGGCAGGAGATCTGCACTTGACAACATGCATTCATATCTGTATGGACATATGCATTTGACCTCTAGATCCCTCCCCCCAACTAACTTGAAGAGTTTATCTGTGCAACTTTCCATCATTTCTGCTGCTAAGTGGAAAGTAAAATTATGTTGAATACTGAAGGTTCAGGATTATTGTCCACATCAGCAGGATAACAATTTCTGCTAAGAAAATCTTAGATCGAGTGACCAGGGCATCCTTTTTGCCCATGTTAATATATATCTATTTCATACCTGCAACTTATACAATTGGGAGGAAACTCCTAATTAGGTAGGGTGGCCATGTATGCATCACCAAAAACACAGAAATCAGAAGGTGGTATCAGTTTGCATAGAATTTGCATTTGCTAATTTATGTGTATACATGCAATTTGGGAAATAATGACTATAAGGGAAACAGAATGCAAAACGTGTCACCATAGACGTTCTGATGGTTCTTCATCTTTGAAACAGAATTGAGGTGGACAGCCCTTCAACTAGATGACTGCCCCCTGACAGCTCTTCCAAAAGAGGACACTGTAATGCTGGGACACACGCCTACCCTATAAATAGGCGTAGTAAAAGGACATTCTGTGAGCAGGGAAATCTTTGGGCAGTGTATTGCTGTCAAACTCCGTAGTCCATAGTCGAATTTGACTGGACTTAACCATTCAGGGGGCGTAGGGTTGAATCCCCCTAAGTCATTGCATGAGCAGAAAAACGCCTGCAAACTTCTGCAAGTGCAGTGGAACTTCTACCACCACCAACACCATCAGCACTTCCCTCAAATGTGCTCCAGCGACTTAGGGGAACTCCTGTAGCAGATTTGCGGGTTGCACAGGAGGAAGAGATGGAGGGGAAGTTCTGTTGCGCTCATGAAAGTCATTCTGCTCATGCATACAACCCAAAGTAATAGAGAAGGGCAGGGGATGAGAACCAGAGGAAGATAAGCTCCATAAACCAGAACCAGGAAGATAAGCTCCCCCCGCCTCACCTTTTCAGGAAAAAAGGCTAAAGTCAATAGTTAGGATGTGTAGATGTTCTAATAAGAGCTCAGCCTGAGCGTTTCTGCATCTTCACAGAGAATGTTTATCAGCTCCCCAAATCCGATGATTCACTCCTGCAGGTAAAATGAATGGCTATTACTTACCCGTCCAATTCTGCTGATATAAACCTTCGCTGCAGCCTTCCAGCTCCTGTGAGAGAATAAAAGGCTTCTTTAGAAGCCGAGCATTGCTTGCCACCAAGTGGTCACATTCTGAAATGCAACATAACGTTATCTTTGTATGGCTTGCTTACACAACTGAAATCCAGGAATCGGTCCAGACATTGCTGTAACAAGTCTTAACCGGTCCAAGCAAATGTTTTGTGAGAACTGTCTGCTCATGTTAGTAGTGTAATTAAAAAGAAGATTTTCCACAATTAGAAGAAATGAATTCTTGCATTTGGCCCCACAGGCACTTGGCTTCCTGAAAGCTGCACTGCAAAAATCTCAAGGCAGCCTTGTAAATAAACCCACAAAAGTTGCTAGCCCTCAAAAAACATTTTACTAGGTAACTTTGTTCCAAGGGATCTGTGTTTCTGGGATGCTGCAGAAGAAAGGATGCCCCCGCCCTCCATGACCTGCATGATTCCATCTTCATTGTAGGCTACTTATAAAATTTAAAAGCTTTCTTCCAGTGAATTGGTGGCGGAGGGGTTGTGCAATCCTTTCTGTTCCCCCTTAACCAGTCCTTTGGATTTCCATGTTGGTCTTGGAGCAGTGGGATTTCTGTAATGCCTGCTGCTGAAGCACGCAGTTGTGTCCCATTCACACCATGCATTTAAATCACTATGATGCCACTCAGGGCTTCCTCCAAAGAATTATGGGGGTTGTAGTTCCCTGTGGAGATGGATTGGTTGTTTAAACCACTCTGGAAATCGTAGCTCTGTGAGGAGAACAACTCTCAGCACCTTTAACAAACCATAGCTCCCAGAATTCTTTGGGGCAAGCCATGATTGTTTATAGTGGATGGTGTAAATGTGGCCTTAAACATTCATTGAAGACATTCATTTCTTCAGCAAACATTTACATTTCATTTTCTCCCCAGCAGCTTCCCTCATTAAGAGTTATTTTATCTGAAATATCTCCAAAACCTCTCTCTTATGCATAGGAGTGATGCTTAAGGAGTACAGTATTCTAATGAAATATGTGGTAAGAAGGGAAAGGGGGAAGAAGAGATTTATTAAGCAATCCTCACTTAGTACTTTTTTCTTTCTGTTTTTCAGCTAGGTCAAAGTAAGGAATCAAGTATAAGAAGCTCAGATGACCTCAACTTAAACAGCTTAAGGAACCCTCAAAGGAAGTATCAGGTAGGATCTAGATGCTAACAGAGTACAGTAACTGTAAAGAACCTGAGAGCCAAACAGAGAAGGATTATCCACAGACCTCTTCTTCCTCTCTCTCTCAAGCCTGTTGCTTGTTCAGCATCCAACCATTCTGCTCCCTCCTTTTATCCTCTGACCTGTGTCCAATCTCTCACCATCACTCCCTGGCTCTTCCTCTTCCTCTTCTGAGACTTCCCTAGAGGATTCTCTAGCTGTGCTGCCTCCCCTGTTCTGCCCTCATCTGGGTAAGCTGCCTCAGTGCCAGCGACAAGGCTGCCATATGTCCTCCTTTTCCAGGACATGTCCTCTTTTTCATGGGTATTTAAAATGAGAGTTGTCCTAGAGATCCCCCACGGAAGTCAGCAAATGTGTCCTCTTCTTTGCTTTTCAAAATATGGCCACCCTATGGGTCTATGTCAGACACAACTGTGCCTCACCCCATGTGCCGCTACTGCTGTCCAGGATCAGGATGCACAAGCCAATACTGTATCTGAAAGGCTTTTCTGCTTCTCTTCCCCAGAAAATTATGAAACGTCTTATCAAGCGATACGTACTGAAAGCTCAGGTGGACAAAGAAAGTGATGAAGTCAATGAAGGTAGGCTTCCAAAATGGATGTCGTTTGGAATATCAGATAGCAGAATTAAAAGGCTAGCAAAAGTTATTGGGTTCCCTCACCCCATACTTAAATGGCACCTCTGCTATAGTGCTTCTGTTTTGATTTGCAGCATAACAGCTGCTGTGGCTTCTGGGTTATAACTCTCCCAAGAACAAAATATATATATATCATTGGCATCCTGAGGGGGAGCTAGAGGTAATGGTGGCAGAACCCTGTTTGAGGCCAGCCAGTTCCCTATGCTCCAGTGGGTTGTAAGGTTTTATTTGAGCCTTTGGGTCTGATTCATCAGGGCTCTTCGTAATGTTGTCCCCCTCCCCATCCCCGGCTTTTCCTTTTTCTTCTCGTAAGCCCTTGATCTTCTCTCTCCCTCTCTTACAGGTGAGCTGAAAGAAATTAAACAGGACATCTCAAGCCTCCGTTACGAACTCCTTGAAGAAAAATCACAGAACACAGAAGACCTGGCAGAACTCATCCGGAAACTTGGGGAGAAACTGTGTATTGAGCCAAAACAGGAACAAAGGACTTTTCTCTGAAAAAGAAAGGGGGGGGGACACTCCTCCTCCAAGCTGGCAGTCCAGTGAAAGCCATATCAGTTCTATCTACACCCCTCCCCCTCCCCCTCCAATTCTTCTTCAATCATAATTGACACTTTTGCAGCAGTAGTAGATACATCTTGACCATTCTTTTTCTTTTTGGTTAACTGGGGAAAACCGGCATTTTGAGCAGATGTTATTTAACCCCATCCACGGAGGCCAACTCAACCACTGAAAGAAAAAGACGTAAAATATGGTTTGAGAAGCCGCACCATTAAAGACTTTAATTACTGGTTCTACTGGTGCCAGGGAGCTCTCTTGTTCTCTCACTCTCTTTCACACTCCCACTAATGTGCACACATATTTTGACACTTCAGATGTATGCACACTTATATTCCACTGAGATGAATGAGGTTTACAAATTAAGCTTTTAGGAATAAGGTTCTGGTCACTTTCTTTTTCTTTTTTTTAAAAAAATGAACTGGTCTTTCTTTAAATAAACAACAACAAAAATACAATTACATTGCTTTAATTACAGTGAAAAGAAATAATTTCTGTTCCGTTAACTAAGCGCTTGGGATGGACAAGAGGAAGGCTCAATAGAACCACATCCGAAAGCCATGATGTTACCGTGACATTACAGTGTTTTCTTCAAATCCCTCCATTGCAAGAAGGTGTTCTGGTACATTTCTTTGGGAGTGCATCTACAATACGAACCCATATTGGCTTTGGGTTTCTCCAAAGAATCCTAGGTGAGGGTGCTAAGATCAGTAGTCCCCTTCCTCTTCAGAGAACTACAATCCCCAGCAATCATTGGGGAGAAATGTTAAAATGCTTTAAGTCTCTATTGCAGATATGTCTGTCCAAGGACCAAGGTGCCAGGAGTCTTGATAATCCATCCCACGAAAGGCGTTCCACTGCCAAGCCGCAATTCATACTATCTGCCTTGTCAACGTTTAGAATTTTTCCTTGGTGAATGTTTATATGTTGAGATATACAATATGAGTTGCATCGGACTAAGTCATAGAGTTGATACACCACCATCAGTGGGCATTTATTTCAGTGGGTCTACTCTGGAAAAAAAATCAGTTCATTTGTTTCATTGGGTTTACTCTGAGAATAATGCAATGGGATGCAACCCAATATATTTAAAGCTCTTGTGTCTAGGAGCAAATGACTGGAACCATAAGTGTTCTTAGGGAGGTACGCTGTATGCCTGGTCTATGACTGCCTTACTCCCTTCTTGGCCCTGATCCGTTGTGCAGCCCTATGATAAATAACTGAAACCAAAAGCCAGCCCTACCTTGTCTCATTTCACATGTTTGTATTGCTACCGCCTTTCATCTAGTAACCTCAGCACCACTGAAAGAACCACCCACAACCAAACCTTCCATTAGTCACGGCCAGGTGTTTGATGGTGGTTGCACTTCAGGTCTACACAAGTTGGATACAGATAACCCTTTTGCCCAGTGTGGCCCTTCGAGATGTTGTTGGGTTCTAACTCCCATCAACCTCAGCTAGCATGTCCAAAAGTCAGGAATGATGGGAGTTGTAGTCTAGCAATACCTGGAGGACCTTGCCCTATACCTGCACCCAAAGTATGTGCAAAATTCCTGTTGTTTTTGTTTAGTCGTTTAGTCGTGTCCAACTCTTTGTGAGCCCATGGACCAGAGCATGCCAGGCACTCTTTGTCCATGGAGTTTTCTTGGCAGGGATACTGGAGTGGCTTGCTGGTTCCTGCTCCAGGTGGATCACGTTTGGTCAAAACTCTCCACTATGACCTGTCCATCTTGGGTGGCTCTGCACGGCATAGCTCATAGCTTCTCTGAGTTATTCAAGCCCCTTTGACATGGCAAGGCAGTGATCCATGAAGGAGGCAAAATTCCTACTTGGCAGATTTATTTTGGGGTGGTTTGATCATTTTGACTGGCATCCAAGCCTTGAAGGCAGGACCTCGGGCAATACCACCCACTCTTGTATCCCTGTTCTCTTATATCTGCCTAATCTGCAGATTAGTATGGGTTGACCTAATCATGCAAGTGCCCACGCAAGTCTCCTTTTAAACCAGGCACCACAAATAAAAAAGCTCTGCTTTACAATTAGTGGTATGTGAGCCAAACAGATAACAAGCACTGTCATGGATGCTTTAGCTGAGATTCCTGCATTGCAGGGGGTAGGACTAAATGAATCTCTGGTCCCTTCCATGATTCTATGAACTTTTCCCCCTGTTCCCACGGCACCAGGTAGATCAGTGGTGTCCAAACTTTTTTTCAAAAAGGGCCAGATTTGATGAAGTGAAGGGCCGTGAGTTGTTGACCTTTTTTTAGGGTTGAAGTTGTTGAGGTTTTTTTTAGGATTTTACCCCAGGAAATAAACTGCCGCAGGGTCCCGATTAAATCCACCAGCGGGCCAGATTAGGCCCCCAAAATGGACTTTGGATATGCCTGAGGTAGATGATTCTCCCCAGGAACCCCTATTCAGTCTGCTATGGAGCAAAAAACAAACAAACAACCCTCTTATGTCCTGCAAGGGCACCCTCTGATGACACAATCATCCATCAGTGTAGAATCGCAGCAGTTTAATGCTGACCTGAGTCAATTAGCAGAAGGTGGGAATTATGGAAATGATAGACAGCAGAGTAGGTCTGTGGCCGCATTTGTAGTTTTGAGTAAAGGCCATAAGTCTTGGTCACGTCTTTCCCTATTCCCCCAGATCAGCCCAGCCCCACAAAAAGAGAAGGCACAGCCAAAACTTGCTTTTCCAAGGGATCCAGATGAAAGCTGGTTTGAGTATAATTAATCTGAGCCTTGAAAAGGGCATCGAGCTGAAAGAGGAAGTGGGAAAGACTGTCACTTTTCCAACTTCCTCCTTCAGCTCTCTGTACTTTTCAAGGGAGCAAAATGGTAGCCACCCCCACCGCCTCAAGGGGGCAATGGGGGTTGGTGCTCAGAGGCTTTGTAGCAGCCGGGGGAAGCCCTCAAGGAGGCTACTGCAGCCGTGAATGCCATGTTCGCAATCCCTGATACAAACATTTACATAAGAAGTCCAAAACATTCCCCTTTTGCTTCCAGGATGCAGTGGGGAAGATGAAGAATGTTTACCTTTTTCCTTAGCGATCATCCATTTGTACAATCATCCCACTCCCATCTTGTATGAATAACCACCAACAAACAGAGTTTTAAGAAAGCAGCAGTTCTTTGGAGAAATGAAGCATTTGGTTGAACCTTCCTTGACCAGTTGCCTTCTCTGTTTAGAATACATTGTACCCACAGTATACAGGTACTGCTTCCATTTCTCTGATTTGATACTGGAGGTTTAAACAAAGGCCATTAACGAAGTGCTGCGTTTTTTTATACATATCCACGCATATGACCTAATGCATACCAGGAAGCTATTAACATCAACACGACCATTTTATTAACTTGGTCAAGTCCTAGTTCAAGCTGCAAGTCGATGTACTTGGGATTTTACTGCTTTTTGCGGTTTAAGAATAAGCAGCATACTCGGAGAAGCTTACCTTGTATAAACAGCTTGCATAAACCAAGACCTGAGCTGGGCTTTTTAAAAAAACGATTAAAAGCCACTTTTAAAAGTGGCCTTTAAGCTGTAAAATAAACAGAACCAAGGTAGACATGACATTAAATGCATCTTCACGATTGATGCACATTTTAAAAATGCACATAAAAGCCCTTGGAGTGTGGCAGACAATTATCAGGATCTCAAGGAGGTGCAGAGGGAGAATTTTGCCCTTTCCCCCCCTGCTGCCTCCATGAAAATTACTCCTTCGAAGGCGCCATTACCCTTGAAAGTTGCATTGGCACCAGTGGGAGTTTTCCTCCAATGCAAATAGCAGCTTCAGAGCAGTTGGGGGTTTTTTGGTCACAACTGTAGCAGAGGAAGAAAGAGTTAATTTGTCTTTGCCTCCTGCTGTGCCTGGGACTTTGGGGTGAAGGATGGGTAATAAATAACTAATTATCAGCCCCCACCCTGCCTCCAGTGGCTGCACTTTTAAAAAATGTGCACATTAAATGCAAAGACAAATTTAGGATCCTGTCTAGTTTGGCCCACTGGCTAAAGGACAATTTTCCTGGTGAAGAGCCGGTTGCTTTTCTGAACATGTTTTTAACAAGCAGTGCATAGTTTTAATATGTGGTAAGGCTACATTTGGTCTCTCTGCCCCACTTGCGATAATAGAAACATCATAGAGGCCACAGTGTTTTGGAGCTAGTCGTCTTGTGGATTCTCAAGTCAAGAAGCATTCTGTACTTAAATGCACTCGCCTCACCTCCTCAGTCAATTAATAGGAGAAATGGACTCATCTACTGTGAGCCTTAAGATCACTGAACTCAGGGTGTATAGAAGCTTTAAAGGCCTCTCTAAGGTAGAGGAAGCCCACAGAATATATATCTTATTTTGTAAAATATATGGAAGGACAGTTGTAAAACTTGCAAAATTGATCTGAGTTATGGCCATCCTAAATAAAAAAAAACTTGCCTCATATCAGTTGTTCCTTTATCCAGGGGCAACAGAGCAGTTGGAAGAGCACACTTCTCTTGTGCTCTTGATTAGAATCTCTGATGAAATTTTCCATTAAGAAAAAAAAAAAAACCTGCGAGGAAGAAATTGTACAACCAATAATCAGATGGAGCCTGCTGCAAAGGGAACATAGGGCCTAAGAGAACTCTGTGTGCAGCCCCTAATAGTGAAGGAGGAGAGGTTGGATTCAGTTGGCATTTAAATCTGCACTTTCCCTAGCAACACACAAAGCAAAGCATCCTTCAGAATGAGCACTTCTCCAAATTCTTGGCAGTGCAGTTCTCTAGCCAAGCAGTGTGTGCAAAAATGCATACACCAGGCTAAAGCGTGCACTAAACTGCATATAAATGTACATACGAAAATGCATTAGGGAAAACAGCTTTGCAAAAAGTGTGTGTATAGGGCAAAACTGCATACAAAAAAAATGTGTATAAGGGTAAATTTGCACTAAAATACTGGTGAATTTTTATGAGGCCTTTTTGAATAAAATAAAATTGCAAACTGGTGTGGAAATGTGAGGAACTGAATTGAAGACTGGAAAAACGAAGAAACAGAAATTTCTCATGGCAGATGCTGTTCAGGTTTTCTTTTTCTTATTCAGCAAACAAGTCAGTCTGGAAAGTGTTCCCTAGTGATAGAAAGTTTGGTAGCCACGGCCTTAGATCCCTTTTGTCAGCAAATTGTTGGGCAAAAGAAATTGCATCCCTATAAGCATAGCTTGATGCCACAGGCATTCTCTGCAGCCCTGCAGCTCACTGGCTAGAAATGGCATTCCTGAATGCCACCTCACATCAGGGATAATGGGGCATGTAGTTCAATATCAAAAGCCCCAGCAAGAAAATCTGTGGTGTGTCTTTTTTCCTGTGCAATGGGACGGCCTGTCACCAGTGGCACCTCCTGCTGGGAGCGTGTTTCTGCTTCTGCCTCTTGACCCTGCCCATCACTGCCATGTGGTTCCTGGAAGGCTGAACAGAAGAGAATGTGGCCCCTGGGCTCAACCCTAAACTGATTTCCAAGGACTGTGGGGCCCTTGAGGGAAGGGAAAGGACTCCCTTTGGGGTTTAACCAGTGCACACGCCTGGGACCTGGGGAGGCAGCAGGGCTGTCTTAAGCATATTCGGCACTGGGGTGCCCAGTTGCCCAGTCCCAAACGTGCAGGAGGGTGGAGCAGGCCGGCTGCCTCAGGGTCTCTCTGGCTAGGTCGCCCCCAAACTTGCGGCACAGAGCCGCCCGCAGCAGAAGAGCCTGCCACGGCGCTCCGATCGACGGGCGGGCTCTTCCCTGGACTCAACTCTTGGGCCCTGGACTCTCGGCCTGGCGCCCCTGAGAGCCCGGCATCCAGGTGCCCCACACCCCTAGCACCTATGGGTAAGACGGCCCTGGGAGGCAGTGAGTTGGGAGAGCCTCCTTCCCTGCTCATAAAGGCCTTGGCTTTGGAAGGAGGCAAGGAACATACCACCCAAAGCCCAGGGCAGGATAGGTTCAGCCTTTCAAATAGACATAAGCAGCTCCAGCAATTCTGGCACAACTAGAGTACTGCAGATCTCCTTTTGTAGATGTTCAAATAAAGTTACGGTCCTAGCTATCCAACTACTGGTGTCTTGCTTCTTTCTTCCAGGTATGGGAACAAGGGGTGCATATTCTGTGTACGGGCAGAGAGACCATTTGCTTTTCCTGCTCAGTCCTTCTTTACACCAGCCCAGCCTCTTCATTTTATGTTCATGTCACCTTTCCCACCTTTTTAAATGCAGCCGCT